TGAAGGACAATCTTCCTCAAGCAAAAAGAGGACTGGCAATGGATGTTAGCTCAGGGCCAATCTTCCTCAACAACAACAACAACAACAACAACATATGATGAGCAATGATTTAGCATGAAAGGAACAGAAAGACTCTAATGCAGTTAAACAAAACAGAGGCAGAAACCAGAACTAAAAAGAAGCCTCAAGAGAAAGATCTAAAGTGGTAAATGAAGTTTCTAAAACAGTCAAAATGGAATAGAAGATGCAACTTGGTAAGACTAAAGCCTTAGAGCAAAAAATTTCTCGTTGAAAGCTAAGAAGGGTAAAATTCAATCCATGAAGAAGCTTGGAGTATTGGATTCTTCTTTTTCCCCACCTCATAAAAAGTGCATGTTTTTTAAATTGAGGTATAACTTACAGTACAGTGCACAAATCTTAAATGTGCAGCTTGATAAATCTTTATATAATGTATACCCTCATGTAACCACCACCTAGATCCATTGATCAGTTTTGCCTGTTTTTGACTGTCAGGGAATCATACAGAATGTACTCTCTTGTGTTTGGCTTTTTTCATTCAACCTTATATTTTTGAGATTCATCCATATTTTTGTGGGCATCAGTAGTTTGTTCCTTTTTATTGCTGAGTAGTACTCCACTGCATGAATATACTACAAATTTGTGCATCCATTCTCCCGTTGATGGACACCTGGATTGTTTTCAGTCTTCCGCTATTATGGATAAAACTGCTATGTATAAGAATTCTTGTGCAAGTCTTTTGGTGGACATAAACACTCATATCTCTTGGGTATATGCCTAGAACAGACTGCTAAGTCACAAAGTAGGCATGTGTTTAACTAGAGTAGATCAGGCTAGTATTCTAAAGTGATCATATCAATTTACTCTCCTACTAGCAACGTGGAGAGTTCTCATATAAAGTTTTTAAATTTAAAAAAGCTCTTCAGTTGAAACAAGAGTTTTGGTTTTTCGTATTGTTTTGTCATCTTTTAGAGCAGAGGTAACATAAGCAGAGTGCTCACACCTCAGAGGATACACAAGATGATTTAGGGGGTGGTGAGCGTGAGAAGAAAATAGTACAGCTTCTATTTTAGTTTCTTAATCTTTTACCTAAAAAGTAAATTTCACTAATATTCAATACATAAATTGATACTAGTGTCCTTATTCAGATGGTTATATTTATTCACTTTGGGCATATTGTGATTTACTACCATTTGTGTGTGCAAGGTTGAGCGGAATTATGGAATATCCACTTCCAAGTGAATTCTCGCCAAACAAACAAGTGGCTAAAAGGAGTCCTACAAAGATCATACTAATAATATAAGCACAAGAAAACAAGGAAATGGCTGAGCCGATAGTTCTAGTCTAGAAAATCTATTTAGAAGATAGAAACTGTAACCATCTAGTCAGATCTCACAAGAAGCAGGCAAAAAATATTCCAAAAATTAATACTTTTAAAAATATGGACTTAATCTATTACTATTAGTGATATTTTGCCAATAGGAACTTTAAAACATAAAATATTGTTTATATCAAGTCATCCTTTTTAGTTCCTTTTTGTATTTATTTTATAATGTATGTAATAGTATGAAGCACATATATGTAATTTTAAAGTAAATTTACACATATTTGGGATACATGCTCAAATTTTTTTACCAACAGGGTTCAGAGACTCTTGTTTTAGCCTAAGTACTTTCTAGTATTAAGCTAGTTAATCCTTAGGCATAAATGAATGTCTGATTTTTAACGTTATATATAATATACCCCATTAGAAATAGCTAGCTGCTATTTAATGTTAAAATAACACATATGAACAGGGAGGAGGACAGGAATAAACTGGGAAAAGGCATGAGGGAACTTTCATGGGTACTGGTACCATTCTATATCTTGGTAGGGGTTTGTTATTATACCAGTGTACACATTTGTCAAACTCACTGAATGATACATTTAACATGTGTTTCAGTCTATGTAAATTTTACCTCAAAAGTGGCAAAAAAGAGGATCTATAAAAAATATTGACCTCTAGTTAATGATATGCATGCTGAAGTGTCTAGGAGTAAATTATAGTGATGTCTGTAACTTACTTTGAAACGCATTAAAATAAGATAGACTGCTGTATGGCCAGAGGGATGGATATATGAACAAATATGTCATAGAGCAAGTATAGTAAAATATTAATTGTAGAATCTAGGTGGTAGATATATGGATAGATATTACTGCACAATTCTTTTGACTTTTCTATATGTTTGAAACTTTTGATGATAAAACATTGGAAAAAATAAATCTCTAAGAATTGAAAATTTAAAAAGTGCAGTGATACGGGGAGAAATTAGAAATTTTTGAAAGGAAAAAAGGTACGAATATTCAAGTACCACTGCTTGGTGCTTTTACATACACTAATCTATCAGGTGAGAAGTATCCCTATTTTATATACTAGTAAACTGAAACTTAGAAAGATTACAGAACATGCCTAAGGTCACAGAGTGTGAAGCCTAGCAGGAAGCTGAATCCAACCTCACCAAATTTACTAGACATCTGAATCCTCCTGGCCCACACTCCTCCCAAGGGGCTGCCTAGGACCAAACTTCTTCCCTACAGCAGGGAAGTTGCTTCTCTATTCCAGCATGGACCAGCTCTGACTGTGAGAAAGCTCCTCTCCACAGCCTGAATTGACATGTTTCCCCCACCCTTTTACTCCTAGGTTGGATTCCTTCGGGCCATATAGAATCCCAACGTTACTGGCCTTCAGATCAAGTGATAGTATTTGAAATTTGATTATGTAGGATTTTTTTCCAGGATATTTTATAACATCATTATCTACAAAGCTATAGCTAGCTGTAAAATGGGGATATGTCTCATAGAACTGGGATGAAAATAAAATGAGAAAATATATGAAGTATACAGCACTATAACTAACAAAGAGTAGGGACTCAAATACCTTTTCCTAACCTTTACCTTTGGAAATTGCAACACGCCACTCACTATAAGATAATCCTTTTTTTTTTTTTTTTTTTAAAGAGACTTAGGTCCTTTCCTTGAGGAGGTCATGTTAAATGTGAACAGACATAGATTTTTCTTTCCTGTATTTATTCTATCTTATCTAACAACCTAATTGATTTTACTGTCCTCATTTTATTTTCCATTTTGCCTTGGTTTGGAATTATAACTGCTAGAAATTTTATGTACAATTAGATATACAACTAGGACCACTTCTGCAGCACTTTTTTGTTTCAAAATTACGACAGGTGGCCAACCTATGCAAGCCAACATGTTCAGGAAATTTTAAGTCTATTTTCTTTTAGACTCTGGGAAGACATTTTTCAAAGGTAAGATTAAAAAAAGCCATTGTGTCACAAGGAAATGACCAACTGGTAATGATAATCTTTAATTCACTTTTGACTATCTATAAATATATGCGCTCCATAGCTATTTATTTCTTACTTGACAAATATATTCAAAGATTCCCTAAATGACGCCTAAAGTCACAAATCTTGCCCCTTTAAGCAATATGGCGCTATAGAATAAAAATAACCAGTTATTCTACCATGAAAACTTTGCCTTAATTAAGGACAACCCATAGTTCAGAAGTGGAGAAAAGTTATTTGCACAGCCTAATGGAACCTATTTAGGTTATTCAAGACTGTTTTTTCTACTTGAAATCTGAAGTTGTTAGTGTTGGAAGGAATCCTAAAGATGATCGTTTTATAGTTGCAGAAACGGATATTCAGACAGTTGAAATGATGAGCCCAGACCAGATACAGGTCCCCCAATTCCTGCCCAGTGTTCCTTCCATTTTACAAAAAGTGATTAGGTCCATCCACTACTTCAATTTCACTAAATTTCAGTCTGGCCAACCATGATGTCACTTCTTCTTGTGCATGGCTGTATTTTTTTTTTTTTTTTTGGTCTTCCTATCTTCACTTGACCATAGTACAACATTTTAGAGCTCACGCTCCTATTTACGCCAATATTTCCCATGTCAATCTGTATTCCTCAAGGGTACCAATGTAGTCTTCAAGATGTCTTGACCCTCCTTTTCACTATATTTTTTATTTCAAGCAATTAACTGCCAACTATTATAAAATTAAAAGTAAAAAGGATTTATTTTACAACACAAAGCACACATGGTAGTGTTGTATCTGTTTCTCACTCAAAGGGCCTAATAAAAAATGTTAATGCTATGTATTGCACACAGATGCTTTCTAGAGAAAGAGCCCAGGGACAACTTGCTACCCAGGAAGAGGCAGCTATTGTGGACTGGTGTGGGAGGCCAAGGATAAGGTTTGGGATCCGACCTAAAACAAATATGGAGGTGAAAAGGCCGGAGGAGCTTACTGGTCCCCCTAGCCAGTGCCTAGCTGCAAGCTCCAGGCTATTCGGTGTCGGTGTAAAGGAACGATGGGCACCAGAGATGCAGGTACCCCTGGACAATGATAGGGCAGGCGGGGCACCCGGAATCGCGCTCAGGAACACTCAACAAGTCTGGATGGCGAAGGAGGCACCGAGAGATGGATGAATGATCGCCAAGAGGCTCCTGCTGGCTTCCGAATGACCACCACCCCCTTCCAGGATTCACCGCCGCCGACCCTGCCGGCTCGTGGACGGCCATTTGCACTGCGCTCCTCTACGTGCCCCGACGTCCGCCCCGGCCGCCGGGTGTAGATCAGCGACCCTGCCCCGAGCCGCCGCCGCCGCCGCCGCCGCCGCCCCAGGCCCGCTTCCCGGCGGCGCAGGTCGCGGTCCCCACCGGCTTTCCAGGAGGAGGGCAGCGGCGGGCCTGCCGGGGCCCGGGCCGCCTTCGGAAGTCGGCGGAAGGATGGCCGCCTTCACGGCGCGGCCCGGAACCCTCGCCTCCGCCCGGCGCGTCCTCTCCGCGCAGCGCCGGCCGCGGCCGGCTGCGAGCGCCGGCTCCGGGCTTGGGCCGAGGCGACGGGGAAGGGGGCGGGCGCGCCATCATGAAGGGAAAATGGTGGGCGGGCGGGCCCGCGCGGCCGCGTACTCACCCGGGCCGGCCAGTGCGGGTAGCCCTTCATCTTGGCGAAGACCAGGTCGCCCGCCTTGTACTCGCGGGGCCGCGGGCGCGCCATCCCGGCCGCTCCCCTTCCCGGTCGTCCTCGGTCGCCGCGCAGATGCCGGGAGGCCCCC